GCTCGACGGCACACGATCGAGGTTGCGTGGCCGCAGACGCGCGACGGCGTCATCAAGATGCGCAAGCGTGTGGGCACGGTGCGCTATCGGCCAAAGCAGCAGCGAAATCGGTTCGAGAATGTCTATCTGATCGAGTTTGAGAGGCGGCCCGGCACGCCCCGCACGGCCAAAGGGCCGCGGCTCCGAAAGACGAGATGGGAGAAGCTTCGCGGGCGCACGTATGTCGTGCTGCGCTCAGCCGTGCTCCCGAAGCCTGCTCGCACGCGGTATTCGCCTGAGGAGATCGAGGCTGTGCGAGTGAGACTCGAGGCGGGAGAGATGCAGGCGAGCATCGGGCTGGGCATTGGGCGCACGAAAAATGCAATCAACGGGCTAGCGAAGCGTTTCGTGCCAGGCTATGCGCCGCTGTCGACTGGAGACGGGCCGCGGGTGAAGAGCGGTGTCACTATCGAGCTGGTCGAGAGCGCGATGCTCACGCTGCCCGAGTACGAAGGCACGGCGCTTGAGATATTTGAGGCGGTCAAGCGGCAGGCGGCGACGGGGGGTGTCGCGCTGAACCTCGAGACTGCGCCTGGTGAGCGTGCGAAGTCGCGTGCGGAGGCTAGTATGGGAGCGCTTCTCACCAATCGAAAACGCTGCCGGGGGGTGTCGCGCGCAGAGGCCAGCGTTTCGAAGCTTCTCACCGATCGAAGACACTTCCCTCAGTTCTCCGCCACCGGGGAGAAGCGCCTGTCGGACGTGCAGACAGACAGAGGCCGTGGACGCGCAGATGAGCGTGCTCGAGATTGGAGACGAGTGCGAGCGCCTGTCTACAAATACTCGCCGCCGGACGTCACCGCCGAGCGAGAGCCGGGCCTTCCGAGCACGAAGCGCGTCAGGGCTCACACGCCCAACGTCGGCGGCCCCAAGAAGTCGGCGCGCAAGACGAAGGAGCTTCTGGCTGGCGGCGACCGACGGCATGGGTGATGGGGTGGTGACCTGAGCCATTGCCAGCGCCGCGTTGGCGACGGTGCGTACGTTGTACGTTGACTGTGTACTGTGCACTACTAGTACAGTACTATAGTGTATAGTGTGTACTAGTACCTCCCGCGCGTTAGTATTACTACGGCTCCGGGGGTCCCTCTTAACAGGCGTACGGAACGGCAGTGAACGGCTTTTATATAACACTCGTATAGCTCGTGAGGAGCTCTATGACCTCTCCGTCGGTCTGTGATTGTGTGTGTGATTTGTGCGGTCAATAAAGTACAATCGTAGATCTTCGCATGTATATCATATCGGTGAATGCGCACCACCAGGCACCAGGGCCTCGCGAGTTTCGGGAGCGGGGGGTGAGCACATTCATGGATCGGGAGGTGGAGGAGAAATTCACAAAGACGGTACAGGAGGTGTTCGATGACGAGGTGGAGGCCGATGCGGAGAAGGAGCTGAGCGCCTCAGAACGGCTCGAGAGGCTGACGAGGGTGCTCACGCGACACGCTAGGGCGGCGGTCGCGACCAGGAGGGCAAAGGGCGATGACGAAGCGGGCGGAGAGGAGCGGCCCGCGGGAGGCGGGGAGGCAAGCGAGGGGGCGGGTGGCCGAGGGCCGCCACCTAAGTCCAAGAGAGAGAGGCTGCGATGGAAAGTGGCGAAGTGGTTCAGGATACGGCACGAGGTCAAGAAATGGAGCGGCACAATGAGCGACGGATATAGGAGGGAATGGGAGGGAGAGGGCTTTTGGAGGGAGCCAAACCTGGCGCAGCTCTGGAAGGCCCTCGAGGCTCAGCCGCAGCTGGCGAATAGAGAAAGGCGCGCGAGGGCATTGGCGGTCTGTGAGCGCGAACGACGCGACGCTGAACAGGAGTTCCTCCTGTGCCCGCGGACGGGGGGGGAGAAACTCACAGAGGTGATGCAGGAGGTTGCGACAGAGAATAGCGGCAACAATGCCAGGAGAGTCTTCGAGATTCTGAACAAGGAGATGGGCAGAAGAGCGGGCGGGGGGGAGCTGGTTGCGATGTATGAGGGAGGTGAGTGGGTAACCTGCCAGACGACGGGAGAGCAGGTCTGGCAAAGACACGTGGTGCGAGGGGACGAAGTCCGCGACGCCGCGGCGAGGAGGGGGAAGGAGATCAACGCGCGGAGGGAGGCGGACATGGCGGCGGTCGAGGCGCTCCTAGCAATGACAAAACCAGCCAGGGCGGAGGCCCAGCCCCCGGGGGTGGAGGGGACAGGACGGCTCGTGGCTAACGCGTTGACGTGGTCGGCGTGCGAGGCGGCGATCAGGAAATTCAAGAAAGGAAAGGCCATAGGCAGCGACAAACTAGACGGGTACCTGATCCGACTTTCGCCGAGGGGAGTGCAGAGGGAGTACTGGAGGCTGCTGCAGGAGATTGTGCGGGAGGAGCAGTATCCCAAAGTGTGGAACGACTGGATTGCTATGATGGCAATGAAGCCGGGGGAGGATCCGAAGGAGCTCGAGAGGAGGCGGGACCTTTGGCTACAGCCGCAACATCTGTAGGGGCAGACAGCAGCGGGGGCAGCAGCGGGGGCAGCAGCTGCAGCAGCTGCAGCAGCAGCAGCAGCAGCAGCAGCAGCAGCAGCAGCAGCAGCAGCAGCAGCAGCAGCAGCAGCAGCAGGCAATCACGCCAGCCACATATGTCACAATTGTGGCTGATCTGGCATGGTACTCCCCCTGCAGGACAATCACTGTCACACAACCACGCCATCAGTATGGGGACATGTTGTCCTCAGTTGTCCACACGGTTGCCTGCGCTGCTGGTCTACTGCCAACTGCCAACTTCAGAGCTAACGTCAATGCTGCCTGCCCAGTTGTTGCAATTGATAAAGCTTCTCGCCGAGTTCTGAATGACATCCAATCGCCGACTGGACTGAGAGAGAATGGTTGGCCATGCCAAAATACCACTCTATTGGATGCTGGCCTTCAGACCCCGGACAAGTGCCTTCACCTTCTTGTCACGCTTTCAGCGGCTGGACAAGCACAGC